TGAATATATAAATGAATGTACGAATGAATATATGAATGTATATATGAACTAACGAATAAATGAATAAATGAATGAATGAATCTTTAACTGTCATAACTGTCATAACTTCTTGGTAAATCTTTCTGCATCCCTTCTATTCATTTCTCATGAACTCATACATGGCTCACACACTCAAAAGTGTTCATAAAGTATTTTAGTGACTTAAACAACATCAGCTCGGCGATATTTGCAGCTCAGTTTCAAGGTTAGGGTATTAACATGTAATAAAGTTAAAGTTGTAGCTTAGCGAAGTGCAGCTGCAGCAGAGAGTGGGCCGGGGGGCTGGTGTGGGGGGGTGTGTGCGGTAAACTGTGCTGCCAACGAACACGTGGAGTGTGCCGCTGCCATCTTGGCTCGAGTGTCGTCCTGGTCCTGGCGAAGGCAAACGCTAAGCCAAAGCTACGTGACCAAGTGACAAATTGCTGGCAACTGTAACGACGTCGACTTCAAAATTCGTGTTGCCCTGAACTTGAATGATGTTCGAGTGAGGTGCGGCATGCGTGCATGCCACAGTTCGAACGTCAGGATGTGTCCGACTCACTCACACACACACACACACACACACACACACACGCAGTGCAACGAACTGCATGTCGAATGGGATTGTCTACTGGGCGCAGCCAAACGTCTCCGAGCGAGCAATCGCAACTGTATATAAATATTTATATACATACTATATATATACATATATATATGTGCTATAGTGTGTATGTAGCTCTCCTAAAAACGCATTTTAAAGGCAAACCAAAGCAACAACAAAAGCATGTAAGCTATAATTTAGTATGCTCAACCAGCTTATACCCTGTGAGCGCATTATAGTTGCCTTGATTTAAATTTTCCACAGATTCATATTCAATATGAATTTGTATATAAGTATATAAACACACATGTTTCTATATCATTTCCTCTACTCTCGAGTATTTGAATTCTCCTATGATTTCTATACATCATAAGAAAGTAATACGAGTATATTACTTAAAATTATACGAGATATTCTTAATAAAAATAGTCGAAACTCTTCTATATCTGACTGCAAATGCAGCACACCAATATGCCCCACTGGCTTGCACCTACATTCCCTACAGGGTACAAAGCTAATCAAAATAATAATAAAAAAATATATATACACATACATATGTATATATGTATATATATATGTATATATATAAAGCTGACATTTAAATCGGGGCGTGTTTTGCTTTATCAAGTAGCAAATTTATTGGCCGACCGATGCGGGCCAGCGACTCAAAAGGCTTTTCAATTTCGTAATTCAATAGCTTATCGGAAGCATATTTATATATGTAGAAGATTAAAAGTTCTCTTTTTATCTCTCTCTCTCTCTCTATTTATCTCCTTCGGTCAGTCTGCTGCTGTCAACTTTTAGTAAAGTTTTACCAAAAGGGAATTTATGAAAATATTTGAGTTAATTACGTTTTGCGACTCTACTTAAAAAGCAAGAGGTAGAGACGCACACAGAGAGAGAGAGAGAGAGTGAGAGATAGATAGAGTGCGCGCTTAAAAAAAGCACTTCAACATAACCTCAAATTTGATAAACTTTTTGCTAATTTGCTGTGCATCAACTCAAAGTTGGCTATCTTCGGTTGGCACAGCTGCTCAAATTGAATACGAATATAGTTTGGCACACACGCACACACACGCACGCACACTCTCACATACACACACACACATGTTGGCATAAAACGCAGTCATAACTTTTTGCACACTAATTAAAAGTTGAAAACTGTCTACTAATTTGCAAGCAGCAAAACGCTAGTTAATTGCAACGAATCTCAACGTCTCTGCTTTTTGTTATTTTTGATTGTTTTGCAGGCAGTCGCAGCTATCGTGGGACTTTCTAAAGGCAACAACGCTCCGCAGCTGAGCAGACAGACCCACAGACGAGACCAGAGCGGCCAGAGCCAGAGCCAACACTGAAGTCAAAGCCAAAGCAGGAGCCGAGCAGCAGACAAAGCGGAGCAGCACACAGATCAAGCAAAATGCACGAGAGACGCGTCAAAAAGTAAGAATATTAAATAACTTTAATTAGCCGATGTTAAAATGTTGAGCATTAGAGGTTATCGACAAGAGAGAGAGAGAGAGAGAGAGATAGATGAGCTAGGAATGAGATAAGCGTCAGTCGTATATTAGGTAATTGCCATATAGAGCATATAGAAAATAGAGAGTTAGATACAGAGAGGGAGAGAGTGTGGAAGGTAGAGAAAGGGCGGGAAGGAGAGCAGAAGATAGAAAGAGTGCTAATGGGAGAGAGATAGATACGAAGAGAAAGATAGACTGTTCGAGACAGAGAGACACGAGATAGATACGAAGAAAAAGGGCAGACAGACAGACTCTTAAAGAAAGGGATAGGAAAGAAAGTGAGAGAGAGAGAGAGAGAGAGAGAGAGAGAGAGAGAGAAAAAGAGAAACTGAAGAGAGTGAGACATATCTACATAAGCTAGAAAATACATGCATATACATGCATATACATATGTTATAAGCCCAAGTACGTAGTTAAGCCGTAAAGCTAGACGAGATTCCTCCCTAACAAGAGAATCGAATAAATCCATATAAATAAATCCACTTGACAGACTGAAGGGCGGACATTATGTGGCCACACACGGGCGGCTCACGCCCGATCCGCCGTACGTGCACTCGAATCGCGGCTACTCAACGGACGGCGACGACTCGCACTCGCATCGGGCGCACTCGGAGTATACAATCGCGCACGAGCGCATCTCGCCGCAGTCGCAGTCGCAGTCGCACTACAACACGTCGCGCAAGGGGCGCAACGGGAATGGACAGCAACACCTGCAGCACAGCTACAGCCACAGTCAGATGGGCCTCTCCAGCTCGCCGGACAACGGTGGCCCGCGGCCGCTGAGCGGTCCGCCGCCCACACGCCAGCCGCCGCGCGCGCCCTCTGCGCTGAGCTACGACCAGGCCGGGGACGCGGGCAGCGACATCTATGTGACCAGTGCCGCCTACAAGGCGCCCTCCGAGATCAGGTGAGTGGGCAGGCAGAGAGACTGAGGTTGACTTTGAGTTTCACAACCGATTCCCTTTCAGCCGCTACAGCCAGCGTCCCGTCTCCCGTGGAGCTCCGCGCAGCGTCTACTCGGTGGCCAGCACCGCCAAGACGGGCCGCAGCGGGCGCTCGACCACGAAGCGTGGCGCCAAGATCGAGACGATGTCAGCGCCGAATCCCTTCTGCCCGAACGTGAAGGGCGTCTGCTGCCTGATGCTGCTGCTCAATCTGGGGCTCATTCTCGTCACGCTGGGCTTTGTGATTGTGGTGCAGTTCTATGAGCCCGTCTATGTCTGGTGAGCATCTTTGTTCTTTAGCTCCGACAACTGCGAGCCACGACTCATCAATTCCTATCCCTATTTGCTTTACAGGGTATTGGGCATCATATTCCTGATCTTCGGCTTCCTCACGCTGATCGGCTGCATGATCTACTGCGTGTACGTGTGCCGGGACGCGAAGACGCCGTCGCAGGTGCGCAACGAGGATCTCTACTGGACGCGACACTGGCAGAAGAACATTGGATACACGCCCCAAGAGATTAACTACAAGGCGGACAAATACGATGCCTACTCGGACCGCTACTCGGTTAGCAAGCTGAGCGGCAAATACTCGGATCGGGAGAGCCAGCGCTACTGAGTGGCCGAAGCCGAGGCGGCACGAACTTATCTAACTACACAGCGAGGGCCGACCGATGAGTAGTGGCTGATTGCGGCTGATCGATGACATGTAATCGATAACGAATACTCATTAGCCAGCGCCCACGCATCATAATCGTTATATTAATATGAGAAAACAGAAGCAACTGGCGCATGTCTATATATACGTACATACATATGTATAACTACATATATAACTAGATAATAGTCTTAAACGGTTTATTAACAAGGCCTCAACGTACCTGCTGCAAGCTGCTTGCTAGTTTGTATGTTCTTAATCATAAAGAAACATATACATAAACACACTTACACACACACTTATATGTATATTCACGTGGAAATACAAATAGAACCTTGGAATGCTGCCATATTTGTGAGACAGTTGATTAACTTCGTACATATTTTTTTTGCTCTTACTCTAACTGAAACACTCTTACGCTAACAATGAGACAACAACAAAAAGAACAAACAAAAGAGAACTTAATAAAGTGCAAAAATGTAACAGAAACTAAACTTCCTTCGGCCTTTGATAACAAATATATTATATATATGCCTTGTTAGTCAGTTAATTAGTCGGCATCTCAGGTTTGAGCTTGTCGAGGTTATTGTGATCGGGTGTCAGGAAGAAAGGAACGCGCCACCAGAATTCCGCAGCATCTGCAAGATATGTATATAGTCTGAAAAATTGAATTCAAGAGCCATAATCTCTAATGGCCGTTATAAATGAATTTTCAATTATCTGAACATCGTGAAAAAAAGATCCTCGCGTATTTTCTGGAAATGCAAGTTGGTCCAATACATACCTTCGCCAAATGTGAGACAGTTCTCAGTTAGCGTCGATCGATCTAACTGATTTGGTTTACTCACAATGTTTGGTTAGTGGTTGCTATCTTATATACGACCGTCTGGCAGCACTGTTTATGTTAAAATAAAGTTTGGGTGGAGTGCACTGTTCCATAGAGGAGCATTCTGTTACTGAGCGATGTTTTAGTTGTAACACTTTATGTTAACATACAGTCTTGGTGGAGCACAGCGTCGGCGGAGCACTTATTTTCGTTAGCCAAGTATGTTAGCTGTCGTGGTGTTAACATAACATGTATATCGAACTATCGATAATTTGTTTTTATATGCTCAACCTCCACAAAGCAACATCGATAGTCACCAATCGCTGCTTCTGAGTCTTTTAACAGTGGTTTCTCGTAAACACTCTTTGCTGTAGGGTGCGTGCGTTCGGTGCGTTTGTTGCGTTTTGTGTTTTATATAGCTTAGCAAAGAAATGCAATTATTCTGCTAATTTAAATTTAGTAAATTGGTATTTAATTCAACGCGCTACGGTTTTATGCGTTTTTAAAGTGTTTTTTAGAGTATGTGTATGAATAAATTTTGTGCCAAAACAAGTTTGAGTACAAATATATAAATATATATGTACATGTGTATAAATGTATATACAAAATCGAATCAAAATAAACCATGTTCTGTAAAGCAGTTCGAGTGTTAATTGAGTGCATTCCATTGAGCTACTTTGAGTGAGAAATATTCGAATATTCATTAACTGGAAAATAAAAGGTAAAAACTAATTGCAAATCTGCAATTTTGCACATTAACCTGGCCAAAAATAGCAAACGACGCAAAATCCGATGCTTTGTTTTCTTTCGTAACGCGTACTGTTGTTGTTGTTGTTGTTGTTGATATTGCTTTACGAAAGTTCCAGTTAGCTTTCGGGCTTTCGAACGTATTGTGACTATATGTAAATACGTATGTAAGTGTGTGTGTGTGTGTGTGAGTCTGTTTGTTTATGGATCGTCCCCGCAGTAGTATGCGTGTCAATTAACGTTCTTATTTTGTGCGCTGAGCGCTTTAAAGAGACTGTTAAAACCTGTTTTTCGGTTTGCTTGTTGGTTTTCGCTTTTACGTTTTATAGTCTTTCTCTTTGTTCTTTGCTCGCTGCTCCCACTCAAAGCGACAGCGTGGAAAGCGTCCAGCAGTTGCAAATATGTCGTCTTAGCGAATCGCAGCTAAAACATAGACTTTCTTTCTCTTTTGGTCGCAGTTATCATCCCTTTGCATAGCCCGCATATAGCAGCCTCACTTGCTGTTTAAGCAGATGATAGAGATAGAGAGAGAGAGAGAGAGAGAAAAAGCAATATCAAGTAAACTGTCAACTAAATGCAACCGCCACCATGTGGCAGCAGCAGCAGTCGCATACCCTATGCCCATTGAATAATGAGCATACATAGACTTTGTGCATGTGTATGTAGAGTCGTCTCGAGCAGTTTAGTCGTTTGCATCCAGCCTGAAGAGAAATATGCATCTGTATGTGCGTGTGCCTGTGTGTACTAATGGATATCTATCTATGTATGTATGTATGTATGTTGTATGTATGTATGTATGTATGTATGTGAATGCATGAGCTTAACACTTAGGACTATTAACAGCTGGCTTTTGTTAGACTACAACAACAGCACAGCCTTAGTCTAATTTATACGGGATATAACTGTAGTGTGTTTTCTGTATTCTGTATTCTGTGTGAGATTTATTCTCAGCTATTTGCCAATTTACTCGCAATTTACTTCGCTATGCGGCCGCCTGTTGGAAGTTTTTAGCACTTTTCCAACTGTTTATACAATTCAATGCAGTCATATGTATATGTATGTACATACGCTCGCATACACATTGAGATACATGCACATACACATGAACGGCTATTAATATATTCATGTGTTTATATGCGCTGATTTGAACAATTTAAAAATTTGTGATTTCCCCTCAAAAAATTGTGATTAGAATAGGCACATACTAACATATATATGCTGTATGTACATATATATGAATAATGGCATTACTTTATCATTAATATTATATTATTTAGCTGCTGACGTCACTCTGGAATGCCTTCAATGAAGATCATAACCAGTTTTCAACTGCAGTATGAATACATTTAGAACTTGAAGCCATGTATATGTATATGTATGTATGTGAAAATACATATATACATTTGTATATTTATAATATACATGCTCGCTTAATCCAATTGTTTTGGTTTCGAAAACGATGTGAATTGATTTAACGCGGGAATTGCATTCAATCAACGATAAACAGCAATTTCAGGCCTTAATATTCCAATATGAAACATGCAGTTGTCGTTTTTCTCAAGTGCACTGATATTCCCCATTTCATTTCAATTTCTGTGTTTATGAAACAGAAAACAATCAACAGCAAATAATTAACATTTAAGTGAAAATTTCTGCTAGGCAAACTATTTCAATTTCTTAGAGTGCATCTATAGCTTGCCTATGTAACGGTAAAGTGCAACGCACTTTAAGAAATAAGCTGATACAATTACTCATTGCTATATGTACATATGTATATATATATATTGCTCACTTATCAGTTTTATAGTTTGTTGATATACATGTAATATACGGATTTATGAGTCCCAGACACAACTGACTGCACCGCCAACTCAGTATAATGTAAAATCTTACAAAGTGCAAGCCTTTATTTGCCAATAACATTTCACAAAATCATAATCGTTATCAAAAGCTGATATCTGCCCCAATCGATGAGTGTAATAATAATCTTAATACAACGGCTCTTCACTTACAAGAATCGATTGCGAATTGCTTCGCTGGAAAATTTCTGACTACAACCTGAGTCCATTGAATCCATCCATTCCCAATGCCTGGGTATTTCATAGTCGCGTACTCTCGACTGGAGCACCCTTACTGCTCGAAACTTTTGTTTTGATTGCACAAATTTTCAATTTTCAATTTTCTGCTCACTTGGCAGATCTGCTGATGACAAATGCCCGAGCGAGTCCGGGTATCAGATTACACAGTTTGCATTTCTGGTTGACGTGTGACAAAAACAAAAACTTGTAACTTTGCACTGCGCACAACAAGTCATCAAGTCATCACAATAAAACTCCAAACTGGAGTGCGACAGTCCGAAACAAATTAAATGACAAAATTTTTGTAAATACAGAAAACTAAGCAAAATGTAAGCAGAAAATGTATTGTAAATAATGTGATATGTGAAGAGCACAGCACATTTGTTTATGTAATATCTATGGGTATGGGTATCTGAGTAGAAGCTGTCTATATCTATCTGTAAGTAAGGGAACTTCAGCCATGGGCTGACTATAGACTATAGAGTTTCTGTATTCTCGCAACATTTGTTTACTTAAATATTTCATAGTTTTCATTAATAATTGCCTTTGGCTTTAAAGGCTTTAAGGCTTTAAATTTCCACTTCGCTGTGAAACATTTGCGCTTCAGACTTTGATATCCCCATCCAAGACGCGACTGTGTTTCATTGCCTTTGTTAAGTGTTAACTGCGCCATATACTAATGAAACCGGATACGATTTATAAATAACGTATAAGTTCGCCCACGCCGATAACCCATTATCGAAATAACAAAGAATAATAACAATTCAGAATTTTGCCAAGTATTTATAAGTATTATGGATATATGATTAAGCTAATTCCAAGCTAGCTGTAACAAAGCTCAGCTGTAGAAACACTTGCCAGCACTTGATATATATGTGTATATGTATACAGAAATCTATTTATATAGCATGCTAGAACACTTGAGTATTCATTTCTTTTCGTTTTAATGTATTCTTAAGATGTTTCCTGGAATCAGTCATATAATTGACTAGCGTATGATTGAAATTTCTCTTTTTGCATTCAAAGTTGGACATGTTAGATATATATTCTGGATAACCTGCTATTAATAGTGTTGGTAGCTTTTCTGTGAGTGTACAATACTAGGAGTCCATATATATTTACATAAAAAATAAACATTTGTCAGACCTTTTTATTACTTTTGAAATACATATACATTTTCCGAGAGTCCGTCGGTAGGTAATCAACTTGACGAGCCATAGATCAGCAACTATATACTCATACGTATATATGTATACATTTCCTATCAGTGATGGGTCGTAGCCAGCAATGAACCAACAAATTGCTACAGAGCATTGCGATTCTTTTATTATCACTTCTCATTTGCGGCGTAAACAGAGGAATTCCACAATAAGCTCTGCATTGAGTCAGGCTGAGCACCATCAGGCGAAGCCACGCCCTAGTGTACTATCCGCTTAATAACTCTTATCACGTTTGCTCAGTGACGAACCGCAGCGATCGTTCATTGAACACTAATTACAATGATTGTAGTAAAAGTCCAAACAATACGCACGGTATTAAATCTTAATAAAACCCAAACCAGATGTTGCCATTGCTGAATGAATGACTAAATCAGAGGCTACGCTAAACAGTTTTCCATTGAAAAGAAAAAACATGGCACTACAACTACAGTTGCAGCTACAGCTAGAGATACATATAAAGAGACAGATACAGATACAGATACACCTACAGAGGCGGACACCATGTATAATGAATAGATTCGCTTTGCCGGCTAGTTTTTTTTTTTTCGCTTGCTAGCGCTGATTCATCCATTTAGTTTTCGCCTTAGCTTATAAAATTAACACATGTAAATATACAAATATGTACAATATATACAAACTATATTGACTATATACAAACATATGCACTACTCACGGAAACCAAAGTATATAAGTGAAAATAAATAGATGAGGTAGTGCAAAAATCTGTCCTCTTCATAACGTCGTGTTGCTCTTAAGATCTGAGAGACAGCAGCATTGTAGAATAGAGCTAAAAGAGCATCCAGATAGAAAGATCGAGTGACAACAAAGTAATGTCCGATGCTCCATATTAATATTATCATGAGGCCTGACTATAATGTCGTTGTTATAAATCAATTTGATTATAATAATGATGCTTACTTCTTAGGTTATCTTATGTATGTACTTGCTCAACAATGCTATTTAATATGATATATCATTGACATACGTAAGATCTGCCATGCTTATGTTAAAATTGATTGTCAGTAGCTCTATCTCACTCGATGGCTCTCTCTCTCTCTGCCTCTACTACATATTTAGTTGTAGCTCTCTCACTGACCGCACGACCTTTGCTGAAATCTCATTTCATTTTTGGATTTTTTTTTTTTATCATATTTCATTTGGTGAGTGAACCAATTGATGGCAAAGTGTTGTTGTTGTTGTAGCWGGCAAGAGTCCATGACCGGATTAAGCATAATGTATACACGAGATATGTACATATCTATTTCCTTTGGTTAGTCTTATCACTTGCATCAAAAACCCAGATAAGGACAAGTATGCCTGTTTGTCTGTAAAATAGTTGCCTTAATACTTATCTTCCATATGCTCTCTAGAGTATTTATTACATTTGCTCTTTAGTCTGTTTTTGTAGCGTATAATCTACAACCTCTTCTCTCTCTCTCTCTCTCTCTCTCTCTCTCTCTTTTGTGGGTTTATCTGAGTTGTTTTTGGGTTTCGCTAGACATTGGGTGTATCGGATAGGTCAGTTCTGATTGTTTTCCCTGTCTGCCAAGCTGTCTTCTGCCTCCCTCGATTCCCCTATTATCACTCGAGTTTCAAGGCTGTGGCGTGTCCTTGCCGTACCTCGATTGACTTAATAGCCGCAATGTTCTCCTGTCTCATCATTAAGCATTCAGCACGTGCATTGCCAGCTCTGATATTCTTCTACAAAGTTTATTAAATTCCCCAGCTTGACACGCAACAACAACAACAACAACAACAACAAGCCAACGTCTGTCATGCAACCAACTTAATACAGATTTCACGCTGGATAGTGCTTTGACTGGATTCCTGTACAGAATAACTGTAATTAGTAAAAACATTGTTTTTAGCATATAAGTACTATATGAATGTATATGGTGTATTCCTTTTATACGCCCAGTCACGTAGTCAATTTAATGACCGTTAATTACAAACAAACTTTGACATATTTGTCGCATGTTTCATGCCCCTGTGTCAGTAATTGTAATAAGCAGTTCGCATATGAAAATGTGCTCTATTTCACCTGAGTAAATTTGTAGATAATATAAATAAAACTATATATACTTTTGCATGATAGTAAATATTTCCAGCTATATTTTATGACATTTATTGAATATATCAAGTCAATTTTAAGTATTGCTTAGCAAGCGTTTGGGCAACATTTCCTAAATTGGATTCTCCTTCAGGAATATATCTAGATATATAAGATTACATAACACCAAGTTGGCTAATGGTAGAAGACGACCCTTACTGTTCATATTTTGTTTATATGGTGATTCTTAAAAATAAATACATACACAAATATGCTATTATTAAGAAATTTATTTATTTATTCTCAAAATGTTGATAATTTTGTGAATGAATTGCTTTCATATATGTACGTAGAATTATATGAAACTTACTCTATAAAGAGCAATAAATATAGTAAATATGATTATCGGCTATCCAATTTAGCTTGAATTGCCCGCTTTTATTGAATTCGAATTTCCTGCTGAGTAATCAACATCCTGAGCGCGGCGCGTGCGCTTTAAGCACTGAGAAAGCTCTGTCTTCAGCCCTCTCCAGTTTAAGATGTCGAGGCGCGATTTATATTTGCAGTTGAATTCAATTAGCATAAGCAAATTTGTTTTCAAATGGACAAATGACGCATATTATAATATATAGTTAATGTGTATATTATAAATATATATCTACACATATATGTGCGTATGGCCGGCTCTCTAAAGTGCAGCGCAATTGAAAGGGAAATTGAAAAGCTGCTGAGAGGGGCAATCCAAGAGGGATATGGCGTCCACTCATATTGCTGCTGTTGCTCATGAACGGAAGCTCTTTTGTTTCTCTGCATATCATAGCATTAAGAGTATATATATGTAAACATATATTTAAATACATATACATATGTGCCAGCGTATGTGGAGCTCAATTTAATTGCGTTTCAAGTCCGTTCTCATGGTATGCGAACGTGCAAAAACATAACCCAAATTAGTTGGGAATTACAAACTGCTGTGACGAGCTGTGAAGAGTTCGAGTTGCAGAATATTCGGAGGCAAATAAAGCTATTTAATAATAGAAAATATAACCTATGTAAAACACTGAATATATCCTGAATCAGTTGCCAGTAACAACTGGTCCGAGCTGCAGCTGTGGGAGACTCCAACCAATTGCAATTGAAAGTTCTGAGCTTTGTTTAAAACCATGAGACGTATTAATGTGCCTGCATTATGTTATTACTCACAGTCAGCGATTGTTAAAGAGCGCAAGCATATCAATTGTTTATCTCATTCATCCCATTATGATAATACTCTCTCTCTCTCTCTCTCTCTGTAATGGCTCAACGTGCTATCATGAAGCAACTTGAGCGAATTCTATTCAATCGCAGTATCAGAAAGAGAATTAGCTCAAGGTCAAGGCAACTCTGGACTTAGAAGAGCGCAGACGTTGCCTTGGCTAAATATCCGAATATCGTATTCTCCTAAGTCCGATGTCAATGCGATCGGGTTTAGCTATCCAAACCCTCAGGCGGGAATCTGAGTCAGTTGCATATATAAACAGAGATCGTGTTTTACATATTCATAACATTTATCGATTTTTGCCGCAACAAACAAAATATAGAGCATTATGTGTGTATGTGTGGGGTAGACATAACTGTAATACGCACTAAAAGACTTGCATTGTTTTGGAATTTAAAATACGACCTAAGCTCCCTCTCTCTGTCACATATTTCTCTCTCCTATTGCTCCCTCTTTCTCTCTCCCTCCCTGTGCGGTCTATAGAGGTAGATTGGTATTTGGTTTCAGTTGAGCATCTGTAGGCGCAGATAGCGTAGGATGACGCCGACGCCCTCCTTGAAGTAAAACATGAAGGAGATGCAAAAGCCAACCAGGCTGATGAGGAATAGCCAAGGCGAGATGAGCATCACGCCCAGAAAGAGAATAGCGTCGTTGCCCTTGGCATTGGCCATGCGCCAGAGCAGCTGGCGCTGGAAGGTGCGCAGCTGGAACTTGCAGTGCCATAGGCGGAAGCTTAGCTGGGTGAGATTGGCGCCCAGGCGCAGGCTCTGCATTAGCAGGCCGCCGAGCAGGATGCTGAACAGCTGCAGCACCAGGAGCACATGGTTGAAGAACGTGTTCTCGCAGCAACGTTGCAGCACCGCCTCCATGCGCTCCTGCCGATGCGGTGGCATCCCGGACTTGAGAAAGTCGAAGGCGCGACGCCAACGCGTCGGCTCGCCGTTGGCTGCGTCAACGCTTTGGATGTGCTGACTATACTCGGTCTCCGAATCCGTATCGCTCTGATATGCCTTGCCGCTGTCCATGCTGTCCAAGTGGCCCATGGAACCCATGGAACCCATGGAACCCATGGGGCCCACGTGACCCCCATAACCTCCATGACCCAAGTGACCCGCGTTGCTCATGCTGTTCATATTCTCCATGTGGCCCATGCTGTCCATGTGACCCATGCCGCCCATTTTGTCCAAGTGGTCCATGCTGTTGTTGTTGTTGTTGTCGTCGTCGTCACGTGCCAAGTGCCTCATGCCACAGCAGTCGCCAGTCATCGGCGCGCTGCTGTTCTTCGTCAGGATTATGGGCAAGGCGCGCAGGTCGCCCTCGTAGGCGCCGTTGTAGTTGGATATCGAATTGTAGCTGCGTGAGGTGCCGGTGCACGGTGCATGGTCTTGTCCAGCGTGGCCGCGATCATACGCAGCATGGGCAGAGTGCGGAGTCTTCTTGCCGGGCAGGAAGTGCATCGGCTGAGGGGGCGAGCTGTGTGTGTGAGGGGTGGGGGGCAGCCAGTAAGGAGAGGGCACAGAAATGAATGGAGGCGGCATTGCGCGTCTCACCCGCTTAGATGATGCTGTGGGCGCTGCTGCACCTGCACCTGGTGTGCCAGCTGGGCCAGGAACGGCCTTCCACTGACATTCTCGGCCTTGTTGAACGTGGTCGCCTTCAGCTGCTGCAGATTGAAGCCGCCACCGGTGTAGGGAGAGCGCTGCTTCTGCATCATCCACTTGACTCACGCAGACTCACAGACTCCAGATGGTGATTGTGGTTGTGGACGCCTTTCGCCTGGTTTGTCGTCTTCTTGCTCAAGTGTTCATCGGCTGCATCAATTGGCCTTGGCTTGGCTGCGGATTTTAGCTGCGTCAATTGTGAATAGAAAATATGATTTATTTTCGGCTCTTAATACAGCTTTTCTGCTGTGTTGGAATTTAGCTTTTCTAGTTGAGTTTCGAATGCGGTGAGGAGCTCTTGACAGAGTAGTGAAACAAGCGCAGAGCCTACTGCGACTGCCTACTATGTAAGCTGAGCAAAGCCCTGAGCCTCCCATAACACTTACTCCAAAGCCGGGTATTCCAAAACGTTTGCGTTTACGATTGAGATTGAGATTTAAATATGAGTCGTCGTTAATAGCAAGTGTTGGATCATCAGCTTTTTTTTTCGATAGATTGAATGACGAAAATATTTATATCAACAACAAAGACACTATAATCTACAATAATAATAATCAACTACTATACTATAATCTACTAATTATAGAAATCCATGATAGGCCACAACAAGAAATACTTTATTTGTTCAGAAACGAGTTGCACTCCGATTGGACTGGAGCAATCCCGTCTTATTTTTTAAACATATATAATATAAACAATATTAAATATATCGTAGTTATTTGTTAAATGAGAACATTTTATATCTTCTCTGTTGTTCCAGCAATTGTAGCTGACTGTAGCTGATTAAGCTGCCACTGAATCACATTCATATCGAGTTTAGCTTACAAAGGGCCGCAGTCGCATCTGGAGCTCAGTTCGATGTTGATACGAGTGCAACAGCGGGAACAGCAGCTGAATAAGAAAGGAAAAAGCCACCCACTCACCCACACACATACACACACACACACGGAGCATGAGCTGGACATGGAGCGGACTGTTGCTGCTGGCATTGCTGGCGCTGGCTCAGTCTGAGATCATTGAGCTGAACAGTGAGGCGCCTGAAGGACCCAACGTATGCAAGAAGCGCGAAAAGTAAGTGCCACGCCCTGCCCCAGRGAGACACAGAGATTCATTGACGTATTTCTACTTCTACTTYCACTCGCTAGCTACGATGTGGAGGTGGTCGTCACGGAGCTGCAGTCGTTCCAGGAGCGCGGCTCCACCTGGTGCCTGAGCATACCGCCCAGCTGCCCCACCTACCGCATCAGGCATCGCATTGTGAACAAGACCCAGATCGTGCCCAAGACGCGCATTGTGCGCGACTGCTGTGGTGAGTGAGTAGTGCAGCAGCGACACCCTCTGATCCCTGCCAGCTGACGCTGATGCCAATGCTAATGCTCCCCCTCTTCCAGATGGCTATGTGCGCAGCGGCAACGAGTGCATCCCGCACTGCAGCGAGCCCTGCCAGCACGGCCGGTGCGTCGCGCCCGAGAAGTGCAAGTGCATCGAAGGCTACGGAGGACCCGCCTGCAACATAAGTTCGTTTCAAGTTTGATATGATATTATGAGTAGATAACGCTTCTGTAGTACTTGTCGTAGCCTAATCCCTATGCTAGTGTGCGTTCTATGTGTGTCCAGTTAACTGCAATGAACTGCCTTGGGTGCGAGGATCAATCTAACATTTCGTGTTTGGCCTTTAATTCTCTTGCAGACGTTGAAACCTTGAGCTAGGCAATCTTTCGATTCAGGCATACGTCGGCCTCTAAAAATAATCCAAAGATTGCCTGATTATCAATTAAGTAGTTTATTATATATGATTAGATGAACATTATATTATACAACTCTGCAAGGGAATTCCCACCTCGGCCAAGCGAAGCCTTCTTCCGTTTGGCACAGCTTTCTTTGTTTATTGGTAATCCGCTTTATTTTTTGTTGCAAACATATTGATTAGCAATCCTTCCGCACACACACACACCAATTCCTCACTTAACACACGCACACTTCCACGCGCTCTTCGCTCTCTTAACAAACGGGCTCACGGCACAGTTCTCACCCACACGGCGGCTCAAGGAAGTGTAYTTACCTGGTGTCCGTGCTTTTGCAAACACTGCCGCGAATAACTAACAAAATGATATAGAAATGTATATATGTATATGTGAATAGGGAGCGCATAGTGCGCTGTGTAAACGTTGAACGTAAATGGTAAACCGTAAACTCTCCGGTAGATTGCTCGCCCGGCCTCTATGGCATCGACTGCAAGCTGAAGTGCGACTGCCTGAACAACGCCACCTGCGAGCCGTACTCGGGCCAGTGCGAGTGCGCGAAGGGCTACACGGGCGAGAGGTGCGCGGAGACGTGTCCGCCCCAGCGCTACGGCGAGAAGTGTGCGGAGCTGTGCCGCTGCGAGAACGGCGGCAGCTGCGATCACGTGTCCGGCAAGTGCTCCTGCGCGCCCGGCTTCACGGGACCCCTGTAAGTGGGCTAGCCCAGTGCTAACTGAGACTAATCGAGACTAATGTGACGCTTCGATCCATCAGATGCGACATGCGCTGCCCGGACGGCAAGCATGGCGCCCAGTGCGAGGAGGACTGCCGCTGCCAGAACGACGGCAAGTGCGATCCACAGACCGGGGCCTGCGAGTGCACCGCCGGCTGGACGGGCGACGTGTGCGCCAACAAGTGCCCGACGGGCAGCCACGGGCTCAACTGCGAGCTCTCCTGCGAGTGCTACAACGACGCGCCCTGCCACCACATCACCGGCCGCTGCGAGTGCCCGCCGGGCTACATGGGCGAGGTGTGCATGGACGAGTGCCCGCTGAACACCTACGGCGTGAACTGCACGGAGCGGTGCAACTGCGAGCACGACGCCGGCTGCAGTCCGACGGGCAAGTGCCAGTGCGCGCCCGGCTGGAAGGGCGAGCGCTGCGAGCAGCGCATTTGCGAGCCGAACAAGTGGGGCTCCGACTGCAGCAAGACCTGCGAGTGCGACATGGAGCACACGGATCTCTGCCACCCGGAGACGGGCCGCTGCGAGTGCAGCATCGGCTGGAGCAGCGCCCAGTGCAATCGGCCCTGCGCCTTCCTCAAGTTTGGCCTGAACTGCGAGCAGAACTGCGACTGCAGCAACGGGGCCAAGTGCTCCGCCGTGAACGGCACCTGCCTGTGTGCGCCCGGCTTCACCGGCGACAAGTGCAAGCAGAGCTGCCCGGCGGGCACCTACGGCCAGGACTGTGCCTTCAACTGCGACTGCCAGAACGGCGCCAAGTGCGCCCCGGAGACGGGCCAGTGCCTCTGTGCGCCTGGCTGGCGCAACAACAAGTGCGACAGGCCCTGCGATCTCAACAACTACGGCGAGGGCTGCCGCCAGAGCTGCGAGTGCCAGAACAACGCCTCCTGCAATCCCATCGACGGCACCTGCACCTGCCCCGCCGGCTGGACGGGCCGCCACTGCGAGCAGAAGTGCGAGCCGAACACCTTCGGGCTGGACTGCGCGCACCTCTGCCAGTGCGACAAGTACAACACGATTGCCTGCGAGGCGGCCACCGGTCGCTGCATCTGCAAGCAGGGCTGGCGAGGTACAAACCCCACCCCACCCCCACCACAAACCACTCCAGCTCATACACTGACTCACTCTCTCGCTCTCACTAACACGAACACTAAATCAGATCTTTGATATGTCAGTCATTTCCCTTACCACTTACGGAAAGTGCTGATGAGATTAAAACTGTTTCACTGTTCCTATTCATGCATGCCACACACACATAGCCACACACACACACTCACACACTCGCACCCTTGCACACTTGCACAATTGTATCATATTCCATATTCAATACATTGCCTCACACACTCACTCGAGCCATCTCTCTGATCCTCTCTCGCCGCATTTCCGCACACTTTCGTTTGTTTTATCTTAATTTGTGTCTTTCGTTTTGCACTCGTTTGTTTATTTGAAATCGCCCGAAAATTGTGAATGTGAACCCAAGGCGTTCATTGCGAGACGAACTGTCCGAGCGGTTACTATGGTGAAAATTGTGATCAAGTTTGCAGATGCCTGAACAACTCCTCCTGCGACTCGGAGACCGGCAACTGCATCTGTGCGCCCGGCTGGACGGGCGAGGACTGCGCCGAGCCCTGCCCCGATGGCTTCTACGGCATGGAGTGTAAGGAGCGCTGCCCCACCAGCATGCATGGTAGGTCGACTCTGAATCATRCATACGTACATTGCCTCTCTAWCCAGTCTCGTCTCGACTCCTGCCAGGCAATGCCACCTGCGACCATATTACCGGCGAGGTTATCTGTCGGCCCGGCTACTTGGGTCTCACCTGTGAGCACGCCTGCCCGCCGGGCCTGTACGGGCCCAACTGTAAGCTGCAGTGCAACTGCGAGCACGGCGGCGAGTGCAATCATGAGACCGGGCAGTGCGCCTGCCTGCCCGGYTGGACGGGCTCCAATTGCAACCAGTCGTGCCCCCAGGACACCTACGGGCTGGGCTGCACGCAGCGGTGCCGCTGCCAGCACCATCGCACCTGCCGCAAGAACGATGGCTACTGCATCTGTCTGCCCGGCTGGATGGGGGATCAGTGCAACTACATCTGCCCCGAAGGCTTCTACGGCGAGCACTGCATGAATCCCTGCGCCTGCCCCTCGTCCAATTTCCAGTGCCACGCCGCCGAGGGCTGTGTCTGCCGCAGCGGCTACACCGGCGCCAATTGCGACGAGCTGATAGCCTCGCAGCGCGTGGCCGAGCACGCTGAGTGTGAGTAGCAAGCAAACGGCAAAGATYTCTTGGACTAATTGCATCTGATTCCACAGCGAATAATGCGAGCGTGGCTGTGAGCACGGTGTTCCTAGTGCTCCTCTTCATCGGCATCATTGTCGGAGTCCTCTTCTACTATCGCCGACGCGTGTCCAATCTGAAGACGGTGATACAACATGTCCAGTACACGCACAACCCGAGTGAGTCGGGCTGGCCTCCCAATCACAACTTTGACAATCCCGTCTATGGCATGCAAGCGGAGGCCAGCCTGCTGCCCAACCACCTGCGACCCAAGATGAACAACTTGGACCAGAATGGCACACTGTGCACCGACTATGGTGACGATTCAAATGCGAGCAACAGAGGTSGGTTTCCACGTGTAAAGCCTGTGGACTCTCTCGAGACTCACACATTTCCTTACCCTTTGCAGTGGGCAGCTACTCCATCAGGTATAATCACGAGCTTCTGAACAAGAACTTGAATGCGGACCTGACCAATCCGAATGTGTACAATGACATGCTTAAGGAGGAGCATGTCTACGACGAGATCAAGCACAAGGAGGGCTACAAGGATCCCGGTGAGTATTACAGTCATCCTGTAAGGCCAAAATAACAAAACCACTATTTGTGCGCATATAACCTATCTACACATATATTCCTCATTTGTCATGCACACATTTGCCATAATGCAGTGAAAATTTATAACAAAGTGTTATTTCCGCAGGGTAAGCCATTGCTCAGTGTTTGTCGTAGCTAGAGATGACTGTGGCCCGCCCAGCAGTTTGAGTGTCGTCTGTTCCAATATCTCAATTATAATCAAATGTCTTCTTTCTCTTCGCAGATGAGTACGATCATCTGGACTATTCACGTCCCAGCACTTCGCAAAAGCCGCACTATCATCGCATGAACGACACAATGCTGAACATTAACAACGACGAGGAGAAGCCCAGCAATGTGAAGAACATGACCGTATTGCTGGAGAAGCCCGAGCCACCAACTGAGCCGGAGCCACAGCACGAAAGTTTCGACAATATCAATTTGGATGACGCCTCAACAGCATCGCCCAGTTCCAGCCCAGAGCTGCGAAAGTAGGCGTTAGTCAAGACTTCAGTTAACKATATTTGAAGAAGTTTGTAATGTTAAGCTAGGTACACACGATGCAAACAAACAATACACAAGYTAGTGTAGTTTGTATGTTTTTCCTGTTATGGGCAGCATTTCTGATACATATATTGCTCAAAAGTTGTGAAAATTGTATTTCGATGATCCGAAATGTTCTCTTTTGTAAATGTTTTATTTTTGTAATGTATTCGCTCACTAGGTCTATTATATACAAATCCTGATTATACATACATATACATTTATATATACATATATATATTCAATAAGTATGAAGTACCTAGAAATTTTGAATCATAGGCATCTCTGGCAGGTGCTGCCACGAATACATTATTTACATCTATTCATATCAAATATTTAAGCATATTATAACTATATATTTTCATCAGCAATATATTTGTATGACAAAAAGTATGTTAAACTCAAAGAAATGCCAAGAATTTAATGATGGTAAAAAGAATTGATAGTAGATTGCTGACTCTTGAAATTGGCCAAAATATTTAAAAATGTCAAATTGTTGATAAAAATTTAGCTCGAATATTTAGTTATATAGTTAAAATATTGGTATAATTTATAAACCGTAGGTAATTAGCCTACCAATTTGCCTTTCAAAGTCAAATGAGTAATAAAAGTTGCATTATCCCATAAAACTGGAAGTTTTATTTTAAATTTGAATTTGAAAATTTGAACAGAAACTGCAGCGCTGCCAGACCAAAGCAAGCAGGGCTGCATTGGGAATACGATAGCTGCTGACAACCGACTGTTAATGGGCAGCACTCGGTTGGTGCTGGGCAGCACTTTGCTGCCTTTAAACGGCCCGCCCGAAAGTATGCCACACTTATAATTTTTCTTTAGTGCAGCTGCCTGCTGCTGATTGCTGTTCGCCTGGTATTTTAGCAGTTTTTGGGATTGCTAAACGTCGCGACGAGCAGCCGCCGCTCGCCTTTGGCGGACTCGCTTCGAGCAACTTTAACAGCGAATTTTAACAGACATCGGACGTCGAAATGAAAGAGATTTTCGTGTTCGTTTAATATGTTTATTTATTTAATCCAATTATTTAGTAGAAGCATCAAGTACAATATTTTTGTTTGTATAAATAGTGTTTCGTTTCGTTTTCCACGTGTCGTTGTCGTTGTGTTCGTTCGTGTGTCCGTGTGTCGTGTCTTTGATTTGTGTTGCAAGTTGCGATTGCATAGACTAAATGCTAAATAAATACATGTACATATACACCCATAGCACAGATTACATCTATGTAGATTCTAAAAGCGTACGCGAAACGAGGGATTATATTAAAATACACACGATATTGCTAATTGCTATTACTTAATGGAAATATTATGTGACTCTTCCATAAATRTATATAAATATGTCTGTCCYAGCAGAGCCTGGAATATCTTCAGGGCTTGCATCGGAGGGGCAGCGAGGCGAGATTAGCTTCCTTCAGTCTACAGATAACCATGGCCGGCCACCTCGGCTGGTATGAAGCCCTCGCGTCCGTCTCGCGTCTTCACATAGAACCATTGGCGCTGATCCTTGGACTCGCGGCACTCGCAGAGCGTCACAATCTCGCCCTTGTGGACGACAATGCTCTCCGTGATGTAGTCCGCATTGATGGCGACTAGAGTTTGGCGCAGTCCGTTCTGCTGCTGACGTCGCAGCACGCTCAGCTGCTGCTGCTGCTGCTGCTGTTGGTGCTGCTGTGGAATGCTCTTTGGATGCAGATGCTGGCCATTGTGGCCATTGGTTATGTACGAAACGTTCGACAGACGTCGCACGGACTGCGACGCTGGCAGCCTCTGCTGCTTGGTCGTCCGCTGCTGCTGCTGCTGCTGGAGCGTCACGTATTCGTCGTTGGAGGCACTGCGCACCGAGGCCGAGCCGGAGCCCAGTTGCTTGGTGGAGCGCAGCTGCGCGTACGCCTTCTCCACGAGCTTTGGCTGTGAGGCGGCGCGCAGGTAGAGCTTGTCCACGTGCTGCTCGCCATACAAGGAGCCAGCCAGACTGCCGCCATTGGAGACCAGACTCTTGCTTGGATTAATATTGTTGTTGTTGTTGTTGTTGTTGTTGTGCTCTTCGACTGGCTTGGACTGGCGCGGTGTGCGCGCTCCATCGGACCGTGTGCCGCCGCGCAGGCGTATCTCCTTCTCCGAGTCGGTCATATTGCCGCAGGGGCGTGGAAAGATGTCCGCATTGGACTCCCAGCAGGGCGTCGTCTTGCCCGTGGGCAATATGCCCAGGGGCAGGCAGCAGGCGTAGCCCACGTAGCCCTCCTCGGCGTGCGGCGTCTGCACGTAGAGCCAGTTCTGGTTCTTGAAGACCGCATTGACAACCATGCCCAGGGGCAAGGGGATCTCCAGCTGGTAGCCGCCGGGACGCGTCTGGTACAGCGTGCTGGCCGTGGCCAGGACAACGGGTATGTTGCCCGGTGCGGACAGCGAGCAGCGTGACAGAAACTCATCCACATTGTGGATCTCGTAGCCAAA